GACAGATGCTGTCCCTGCTGCCAAGAGGAAGAGGAGGGGGACCCCAAGTGCCATGGCCACCTGAATCCAGGGAGTGGACCTCAGTCCAGCCGTGCCGCAAGGGACCAGCAGCAGGATTGGCCCCGTGGCCCTGGCAGCCTGGCTGGGGGGCATTTCCCACCAGCTCTGGGGGTCTCTGTGCTGCGTCTGTGCCCCCTACGCGAGGCCAACTTGGTGTTTCTGACAGGGAAGGTCACCCTTGCCCTCACTGCCCATGTCAGGTGCACCACGTGGCACATGCCAGCTCTCCATCCTCTGCTCCGTGTTGCAGTCAGGGATCGCGCGGGTGGTTCATTGTATCCTCACAGGGCTTCATACCTGGGGGCTGCCTCAGGGGACGTTTCCCACCCCGATGGTACCTGGGTCCAGGGAGAGGTGTGGCAGGGGGAGCCATGCTGCCCAGGCTGCCTGCACAGCCCAGCAGTGCTGTTCATTGCAGAGATGGCTACGCGCTTCCCTGTGGGATGAATCCCTTTGCTGATTTGGGATAAAGAGGGGGGCTCTTCTCCAATCTGCTCATCACTCACATGCCGCTTGCCCGGGGCATCGCTGGGGGGGCAAGCAGGCAGCAGCAGTGCCAGCACCAGCCCCTCCTGGGAGCTGAGCAGCTCCAGCAGCTCATGGCCCACCCTGCCAGACAGTGGACAGTAGCTCCTTGGATTTCAGAACGCAGGGTGTGTGATCAAAGCACCCCACCTCCCTCCTCCTGGTTGTGTCCAGCATCTCACCCAGGAAAGCTTGAGCTATGTGTCCACCGGGCACCCTGCTTCCACAAACAAGGTCCTGGGTGCTGCATCCCACCAGGCACTGGGACAGTCGATACCACAGAGCATCCTGAAGCCTTCGGTGCGGAGCTGCCTGTGAAGATGCCGCTGGATGGAGGAGTGGGGCTGGCGGAGGAGCTGTGGCATCGCTGAGGAGTGGGTGAAGCAGAGGCACCACGGGTGTCCAAAGGGCAGGTTGGTTGGTGGAGGATTGTCCTGGCTGCATCTGTGGACGCTGATTTCAGTCCTCGTGTACCACAAGGGAAGAAGCTGGGGGGACGTTGCTGTTAAAGGCTGGGGACCCCATCAGAGGTGCCCGTGAGGCTGTACCACAGGGTTGGCCTGTTCTGCAGCTGCCTGTGGCTCCATCACTGTCCCGGCTCTGGATGTCTGGGGATGGAGCATGCTGCCCGCCCTGTTTGCCTCATGCCCAGAGGTGTTCAGCTGCCTGGCCGGTGCGAAGGGGCCTTGGCATACGCAGCTCTCTGAGCCAGATGACTGTGCTGGGGCTGCTGAGCTCTGGGAGCGGCCAGCGCTGCTGGGAAGCTGCACCTGGGCACTGAACAGGGAACATTTGGACCAAGGGGCAGCTCCAAGAGAGATGTTTTTTGCATAGCTGTGCCTGCAGCCTCTTCCTCCCCTGCCTGGCTTGTTCCTGCATCCCCAAGCGCACACCAGCCTGGCCTTGAACTGCAGTGGCCCATCTGGCAGCAGCAGCAGGACCAGAAAGCCTCCACCGCTGCTGCTCCTCAGCCCAGCCCTGGAGAAAAGCCGTCCCAGCTGCTGGGGAGGGCCCAGCGTCCCTTCCCTGCCTGCGGCAAAGCCCTGGGGACACACTGGATGCGTCATGGTCAGCATGCACATGCGTCACTGTTGACACCACAGAAGCCTCATGGCCCCTGTTCCTGGCCACACGCTGTCCAGGATCCTACCGCATGCTCCTGCTCTCCTGGCCCGAGGACTTGCTTGCTGCAGGAGTAAAATTCCCCACCAGGACACATAGCCCCATGGGGGGCGTTGGTAGCCAGGGCTTGGCTGGGGTTAGCCACCCTGTGCTGCTTACTCATGTCTTTGGCTTGTGTCTCCTCTCTCCTGTGGGCCCTCCATCAGCAAAAAACTACGTGAGCTCAACGCCGCGTAGCCCACAGATAACCAGCAGGAGCAGCCGGCCCCCCACCATGCCCAGCACCTGGAGGGGCTACTGAAGTCGGTGCTTCCGAACCTGTGCCTTCCCTGGCTGCTGCGGGGCCACGGATGAAGCCCATCGTCCTGGGTCCATCTGAAAGCTGCCCCGTCTCTTGGGATGGAGGGAGACGGCATGGTTGGCCCATCATGGTGGGAGTTACATACCATAAGGATCTTCTTTTGGGTTTTATTTGTGTTTTCTCTCTGTTTAAACCACTATGTGCTTCTCCACGTGGTGGGTTTGGTTGGGTGGGGTGTATTTGGGAGGGGTGTTTGCAATGTGCCACCACCTGAGATGCAGTCCCCGTGGCCAAGAGCCGCCTTGGCCGGGGGTTTTGCAGACAGGGAGCTGGGACAGCGGTTGAGCATCGTGGGCAGCCACTACAGCTGCTGAGCATCGCGTACCCCTTGGCCACGCTGGAACCCCACTGGCTGCCGGCCCCTTCCTGCAGCTGGGGTGGTCTGATGGGGTCTGAGCTGTCTTTTTCTCCCACTGGCACCATTTAAACATGAGTTGCCCAAGCTCTCCAGAGCCTTCTCACTCTCCATCCTCAAGCCAAAACCAGAGCTGGCATATCATTACGGCAGCTGCCCAAACCAGCTATCTTCCCCCGAGGTTGGGGCAGACCTGAGGGACGTGGTTCTCTGGGTGCCAGCAGGTCTTTTCCCTCTTGGTGGGATGTGTGATGCCAGAGAGACCACGTTGGTTCACGCCAAATATACTTGAAAGCAGAGCTGGAGTTTCTCACGCATGAGGCTCCGACTTGACGCACAGAAATCCCGAGCAGGTAGCTGGCCTGTTTGCTCCTGCTAAGCTCGGGGCTGGGAGATGGCTCTCCATTCCGCGATGGATCAGCCCTTTCAATGTCCGAGCCCTTCTGTGGCCAGCTAAGATGCACAGAGCTTTTATTTTTAAATGCACATCTGTAAAACCGAAGCTGGTGAGGAGCACTGCAATAAACACTGGGTTTTATTGGCATCCAGCTTCCTGGAATCGGAATTTGGGTTTTGCAGTTTCCCGCCTGTGGGGATGGGAGCAGGGGGCTTTCACCCTTGGGTTTGGGCAAGTTCCCATGTCCTAAGAGCCTGAAGCCAGCCCCCAGCAATGCTGTTACCCTATTAGACAGACCCTGGGGTCAGAAACGGGTGGGTTTAGGTAGTGATCAGCCTCCTAAAGATCTTTTGTAATAAATAAAGCCATGAAGTGTGTCTGCTGTTGGGCCATGGAGCAGAAGCAATAAAAGTGGCTGGGGCTGGCTTTTCCTGGGATTTTGTACCTTGTTCATTGCTGTGATCTGGTCCACATCCATGCACAGTGTAGCCTGCTGGACACGCTGGATTGAAGGTGGGAAGGGAGAACTACAGGACCATCCCAGCAGAGCTGGGAAAATCCCCTTTTCTGCGTCAGACTGTGGGGAAGGGATGCTCCAGCCAGTCAGTGGCCCATCCTGGCCTCTCCTTGCCCTGAGCCTAGTAGCCAGGTTCAGCACATCACAGAGGAAAACGAGCACTGATGCTTGGGAATTGCTTTTTTCATGGTATTTCCTATTTTCCCTCCTAATTCCCTGCCACGTACCACTTTAAAGACAGCTCGCTTGCTCTCCTCCAGCTCAGAGCGCTGTATTCCATGGTTGGAAGCTCCCGGAGGTTAAATTAGCCCATTCCCTGGTGAGTCTAATCCTGCCATGGCTCGTGAGGTCTGGCTCTGCTCCCCCTGACACCGGCGTCAGGAATGTCCCATGGGAGGCAGTGACCTGCCCCAGCTCACCATGAGACAGCGGGGGGGGACTGGGAATTTGGGATGCGTGGTCCTCACGCTGGTTCACTCCAGGACAGAACAGGATCGCATCCAGGAGCTGGAGGTGCTGCAGCCAGGACACCCAGGGGCTCCTGGCCAGCATGGAGAACAGGGTGATCCAGCTGCACCATGGGCAGGAAAACTGTGTGGAGACAGGAGAAATATCCACTAGAGGGGACTGTGCGATCGCATGTGGGAGCAGCTGCCAGCCTGGCCAAGGAGCAGGATCCAGCTCCTCAGTCCCTCCTGCATCCCTCAGCCCTCCTGGTTATCCCAGCCCGGATTCCCATGCCCTCCGCATCCCTCCGGCGGAGAGGCACAGCTTCCCCAGGGCCAACCGAGGCACTGGCCATGGGGCACGGCGAAAGCGGTTGTGGCTGCAGGTGCTGGGGCAATGTGCTGGGCTGGCCTCAGGCAGCAGATGAGCCCCCCCAGCTGCCCGCTCGCTGCCCCCCAGCAGCATGGCGCAGAGATGGGCAAAAGCATGGAAAACTTGAGGGTCAGAAGACAAACTGGAGGCTTTATAGGGTCCATATAGGAAATATCCTGGAAAAAATGCAGTTTGCAAGCCCCTGGCAACTCAGAGCATCCCCCCTCCTCCGTGTCTCCCTGCTCAGCTCAGCCCCAACTCCCCCCTAGGACCCCACAGGTCTCCCAGGACTGAGACTGTTTGTCCCATTCCTGCAAGCCCCAAATCCCCCAAGGATCCAGGATGTTACTTTGCCTTTTGCTCCTGCTCAGCCTGAAGCCAGAGCCCATTATGGGGGGCAGGGGAGGGCAGAGCTGCGGATGGTGAGCAGAACCAGGAGTTTTCTGCTGGTTTCTTCTCACCCTCCCCTTCTCCCCCAGCACCATGATAATGTTTCCCTCCTGGTAGGATTAACGGGCTTTGTTTCTCTGTTTGTACACCAGGGCTTAAGTAATGCACTCCCCAGAGAGGAATAAAGCTTCCCTTGCCCCAGCAGTGCTGGGGAGGCCAGACCAGAGCCCACAGTGATGGGTTGCATCAGCTTTCTCGTGTCCTTCAAGGCTCCACACACATTAAGCCTGTCCTCCTGCAAAGGTCCTGCAAAATGTTTGTTTGTGACTGTTAACAAACACGCTTGTGGAACGTGTGGTGTTTAGATGTGAGCC